AAATTATGGGAACAATTCAAGATGAGATTTTGGTGAGGGCACAGCCAAATCATATCAGAAATATTTAAGATATACACAAGTATAAATGCTTAAATAATAAACCAAATATTTTCGTAACCATGACACAACTCAATAAATGCTGCCTATACAGTTCAAGATTTCTGTGGCCCTTTCTCATGGTTAAATCTTAAAAAAAAATTCTCTTATATTTCTTAATACTTTAATGAAAGCTACACTAAATCCTATTAAATGTAATAAGCATGTTTTTAACATTGCATATATATATGCAGTTATACTCCCTGTGTGATTCTGTAACTCATTTATGTGTCACATTTATTATTCTGTAGGTTTTTTGTTGTTCATTCATTTTTGTCATAGAATAGCCGAGTGTTTAAATATGCCATAGTTTTTTTGTTAATCTAAGGTATGACAAATGTGTATCAGTGATTTTTACTTGGGTTTATCTGATTACGAGTGAAAATCAACATCCTTTCATGTGTTTGTCTTTTTCTGTTTTGCTAGTCTTTAACTTGCCTAATATTTTGCGTATTTGCTTTCATGGCTCACTGCAGCCTCAACCTTCTGAGCTCAAACAATTCTCCCACCTCAGCCTCCCAAGGTATCCACCACCATGCTTGGCTAATTTTTTTTTTTTTGTAGTGATGGATTTTTGCCAAGTTACCAAGGCTTGACTCAGATTTCTGCACTCAAGCAGTCCTACATGTGTATTGGCTTTTTCATGTGTATTGGTGATATGGTTTGACTGTTTCCCCACCCAAATCTCATTTTGAATTCTCATGTATTGTGGGAGGGACCTGCTGGGCAGTAATTGAATCATGGGGCAAGTCTTTCCTGTGCTGTTCTCGTCATAGTGAATAAGCCTCATAAGATCTGATAGTTTTCAAAAGGGGATTTTTCCTGAATAAGCTCTCTCTTTGCCTGCTGCCATGCATGTAAGATGTGGCTTATTCCTCCTTTCCTTCTGCCGTGATAATGAGTCTCCCCAGCCATATTAAACTGTAAGTCCAATTAAACCTCTTCCTTTTGTAAATTACCCACTCTAGGGTATGTCTTTATCAACAGCATGAAAACGAAATACTACAATTAATTGGCTTTTTTAGGTTTGCCGCTCTTTAACTTGCCTATTCAAATATTTTGCCCATTTTTTCATCCAGTTATTCTTTATAGATTTTTACAAATTCTTTATGAATTCTGGATAGTAATCTTTTTTTTAGTTATGTTTGTGGAAAATAACTTCTTTCATTTTGAAGCTTTTTTATTTTAGGCATATTGTTTATTGATGAAAAAAGTTATTAGTTAAAAGTAGCTGAATTTATCAATTCTTTCTCTTCAGATTTATATTTATTTTTGCACTTCATTTAAAATATCACATACTACAATCATTTTCTTTTCTGTTTTTTGTAAATGTTTTGAGACTTTGCTATTAAGTTTCCAAATGTGTGTATGTGTATGTCTATTTTTATCTTCCCCATTCTGTTCAGTTATCTATTTACCAACTATATATTGAACACTTTCTGTGTGCCAGTCACTGTTCTAGCTCCTAAAGACAGCTGTGCTCACACAAGAGAATATTTCTGCTTCTGTGGTTCTAATATTCTACTGTTTCATTTTGCCAATACCCTGTTGTGTTAATTAATTTATATGTCTGAATATCTGGAAAGGCAAGGTCAACCACCTTGTTCTTCTGTGAAATTGCCTTTGCTTTTTTTTTTTTTTTCTGGTCCCTTATTCTTTCATGTAAATCCTGCTGACTTGCATGAAAAATATTGTTGACTTGATAGATGACTTTTATCTTTCTGTCCTTGTGATTCTTTGATACTCTTTCCATGTATATGTGAAAACTTATATTTTAAGACTAGCCAGGTGTGATGGCTCACACCTGTAATCCCAGCACTTTGGGGGCCAAGGCCATAGAATTGCTTGAGCCCAGGAATTTGAGACCAGCATGGGTAACATAGGAAAACCCCATCACTACAAAAAAATCAACTGAGCATCGTGGTACATTCCTGTAGTCCCAGCTACTTGGGAGGCTGAAGTAGGAGGATTGCTTTAGTCCAGGAGGTCAAGGCTGCAGTGAGCCATGAGTGTGCCACTGCACTCCAGCCTATGGAACAGAGGAAGACCCTGTCTCAAAAAGAAAAAAACAAAAAGTATAATCTGAGAATGGAGCCATTTGTTGGTTCATAACATAATACTTTGTATACTGAAAACATTTTACATAACTGAGAAAAAAATAGAAGATAGCAGTACTTGAAACAAAAATTCCGACTCTTTGGCACCATAGGTCTATTTTTTGTGCATTTCTATTAGGAAATTAGTATTAAAAACTACTTGTTAGAAAGTAATATTTTTAATTACCAAATTTCATGGCTTTAATATCTTCTCAGTCCTTGGATAGCAAGTATGAGGGATTTCTTTTTCTTTCTTTCTTTTTTTTTTTTTTTTGAGCAAGTATATCAGTGTAATTTTTCACAGCACCTCAGTTCTTCTGACATTAGGAAATTGGGCTTCATATTAAAATAATGATAAATATTAATATATAGTGGGGAGTATTGCTTGATACCTTATAGTATTTCTACATTGTTTCTTGTTTGCAGGATCTTGGTAGTTTCTCATCTTTATCTTTCTGTTTCTCCTCTCTTAGATCTTAATATGTTACCCTAAGACCCAGAAAACAGTGGAAACATCTTTAGTTAGCCACAGGCCTGTTATTGCACTTTGGTTAAGATTTCGTTTTTCAGGTCTCCTTTTTAAGTGTTGGCAGCTGCCCTGCAACTGCTATTAGAGCTACCTCCACTTCCTGTGAGTTTATTCTCAGTCTGTGATGAGATTAGAACCATTTAAACTTGTAAATGACTGTTTATCAGTTAAACACCTTCAACGACTTTATAGAAATTCTTGAGTTAGATTCACTCTGAATTTTTCAGTGCTAATCTCTTTCCATGTCCTGAACCAAGCATTTCTATGTGTTTATTGTAAATGATGAGGCAAAGTAAGATATTCCAGCCTTGCTCATATGTTTCAAGTAGGCTTTTTTTTTTTAAATAGTATCCTTCTTTTGAAACTAACTCTCGAGATCTTATATGACATTTTTCTATCAGCTATCTAAGAATTTGTTTTACTTGGTGAGCGTAAATAAATAGGATTTCTAGTCATGTCTTTGCTGCTGATTACTACCTAGCTGTCCAATTGTCAGCAGGTCAATTTTTGTCTCTTGTTTTTATTTTCTTAATCTACAAAATTTTGCGGTGGGTGCTAGATAGATTACTTCCTGGGTTTTGTTTAACTGTCATTTTCTCTATGGATCTCTATGTGGATTCTGTGAAGGTAGATAATGATGTATTAATCATTCATTATGTTGAATTTTCTATTTGCCTTTTAAATTTTATTTCCTTTTAAATATGTCTATTGTCAGCATTTAAAAGAGGAAGACAATTTTTCATTGTGAAATATGGCATATTTGGCAATAAGATACCGCACGATTGTACCCCCTAGCCAGTGTACATTATTATAACTGTATTTGTAAAAATCAATTTTCTTCCTCAAGAATATTCTTTAAACGTTTATTGAACATTTACTATGCAACAAACTGGTGCCTGGTACTGGAAACAATATGAATGAACCTACCCTTGAGGACCTTTCAGTGTAAAGATTTTTGGTTTGGTGGCAGTCTGTTCAACCCTGCTAATAATATTCCTGTATGCCCTGGCATATGCTGCTGTCTTCCTTATTAGGAGTGTTAACCTGAGAAGGGTCACTTCTTTATGTCCTTGCTTGGTGATTATAGTAAATTTCATTGTTCTTGTAGGGTCAAGAAAGTATATGTTGATGATCATGTAAAGATGACATATATATCTTTTAGAGCATAATATATTTCCGAATGATGAGAAATTAATTTTTTCATTGGTCACTATAGTGTAGGAGAGTCATAAATGAATGAAGCACAGGTTGAGCTTGACACATTTAAAGAGACCTTGAAGTAAAAGAAGAACCTTTAAATCTACCGAGAGTGGTTCTTAGAATAATTTAAGTGGCAGTATGGGTGTTTTGTATCCTTGAAAACTCTTTGAATGGCAACTTTATATACTAGATTATTTTTAACTTTCCCTTACTCAGCTGTTTGTCAGAGTCCAAGAATTGTTTTATTCCTGAATTAAGAAGTCTGAAGTCCCATCATGCTCACTTTATGTACCTTTGCCTCTGTATGACATTGGAGGAAAAGGTGTCATTTCAAAAATATGGTTTCTTTAGCCATCTAAGTTCACTAGTGCCAACAAACTGGCACTTTTGTGGCTTCACACTTATAAATATATTTCATTGTTTTTCACTGGGTAAGTTATCTTGTAGAGAAGGCAAAGAACTTATCAATTCACTTCATTATGTCCAAAAGATAATCCAGGAGACATATTTACGCAGACATAGCTCTTTGTTCTGTGTCTCACAAGGGAGAAAGAGGCTTTTATAAAAGAATATTGTAGGACTGCTGACTTGATTTTACTTGAAATGTAAGGTTTTATTATTCAATATTAATATTAGTTTCTTTCATTCATGTAAACAAGCTCATCAGTTCTGCTTAAAGAACTTCAAAGTTTCATCAAATAGTTTCATTTTAATTTCAGGTAATTGAACTGATAAAATAATTTATTATACTTGTATCAAAGTCCTTATGTTAATCTTGAATGTCATCACATCACATCAGTATTTTTAAAAGGCCCATTAATGTAGTATAATCTATACTTTTCTTAAATAAAATGATTGTCATAATCAGTCCATTATTCTAACACTCTAATACCATTTCTGAAATGTTCCATGATGTGAAATTAAAAAGATAATGATAATGATTCTAATGATATGGGAACAATAAAGGCATAATAGGATATGTCATTTGATATGTTATCTTTACTTTTATAGGTCTTGATCTTGTTTGTAAGGGTGAAATTACTTCTTATTCTTACCTTTTCTTTTGCTTTAATACATAGGGATGTGAGCTTATTTCAACTCCTGATCAAGACCACACTGATTTTACTAAGTGCCTTAAAATGCTTCAAAAGAAGATAGAAGAAAATGACTTAAAGGTAATACATACACGTATTTGGTGGTTATTACAAAGGATATGAAAAATGTGTTTTTTTTTTCACTCAGCTGAAATGGATATTTACTTTTGTGTCTTTTTTTGTTGTTGTTGTTGTTAAATTGCTACCAGGTTGTTTTTTTTTTCCCCCTATATATCAGATAAATCTGTACTTAGCTGCCAAAACATTAACATGTACACTTAAACCAGGGGACACAAATCTAAACATCTTAGTGGCAAGGTAATGAAATGGGTGAACTGGACCATGTGTAAAGTAATCAAAACTGGGAACTCATTCTTGCCCGAAAGTGACTATCTGCTGTTCATCTCTAGTTGATTGTTGCCATGAAGAGCTATATGTATTTTTGTACTATGTCTATTTACATATTGTATAGGCAAAACAAGCAAATGTGGCCTTGATTTGGCCCATGGGCTATCACTGCAAATTTTTATATAAGCGAACATCAACCTTTTTTTAAGCCAGAGAAGAGTCTACTGCTTTGCATTATGTGCTCTTTAAGGTATCCAGTACTGATAATTCACCTAGTATCCAGATCTTTAATTGCATTAATTGGTTAGTACACAAGTTTATTTTTTATTTTATTTTTTGAAACCTGTTGAAATGGCATGCAAAGTTTTTTAAGTCTGTGATTAATGAAGAGCTACAAAATTAAACCTGAAGCATTGAATGACAATTGACCTCCCCCCCAACCCCATTCAGGGGCAATAAGTTTTAAGCTGAGATGGATGATCAATTGTGTAATTTTAAATCAAGAAAAGCAGGAAAACAGCCTTGTATATTAGAATGGTTTTGATACCACAACTAACAGAAAACACATTTCAATCTGCTCTCAATAGCCATGTGATATAGGGCAGTCTTGAGACAGAGCTCTGTCAAACTCATGTTCTCTTCTCTTATTTATCCTGGCTCTGCTTTGTAGGCTTTGACTTCACACTGGTTTCCCTGATTGTCCAGCTGCCACCTGCAGTAACATTTTACCTTTCAAATGTAGGGGGATTAAAGCATAGAGCTGGGGAGATACATCACTTCCCACCATCATAGGACTTAACCTTTAAGATCTCTCCATTAAACCACTCTTGCTTTTGGCAAAGGAAAATGAGAGAATCCTGACTGTCTTTGGTTGGAGCCAGCTGTAGGATCAATCCATGTGGCTTATGTATTCAAACTACATGGTTAATACATATTTTGCAGGATGGGACAGATATCAGAGTGGAAGCTCTAACAAAAATTTATTAAACATAAACTCTAGCATATATTTACTAAGTTGCAGTAGTAAATTCTTTTTTCCCTTTGAAATAAAACCTTGTTAACTATCACAATTGGCAAGTAGCTCAATCTGGGAACTCACCAAAATAATTGCGTGAACATTTCTTATCTCTGTTGCAGTTTTGCTGAACTCTATCAAATGTATTGTGCTATTTCCAGCAGTAAACTGCTGTAATTATTTGTTTAATGAAAGCAGAAAACAGCCAATTGAGATTTGTTTCATCCAGATATCACTGATTTGATATTTCTTAGGAAAAAAATTGTAAATATTCACAGCTATATTTTGTTTTTCCCAGCACCTCCATGGACATGATTAAAAGCTAAGAGGCAATTATGTGAGTCTAATGCCTTCCATCTAACCAATAGCATCTATAAAACAGTATTCTGTCATTAAGCCTTGAAACAAATAATCATATCTTAACAAGGCCCAAATCTAGAGAGAGCCTCAAACTGGGAGAAGAGGGTATGATCTGCAACCAAATTTGACAGTCTTGACCAATCTGGTGGGGAGTGTTGAAGCAAGACTAGCTGTTAGAGGACTCCTGCATTTGACAGAAATAGCAACAACCTTGTACTCCAACTGTGATTAGTCACAGACTAGAGGATGCTCAGGAGGAATGTAGACTTGGCTCAGAGGTTGCCAGGGAAGACTGCAGACTCAGTGGCATGATGTTCTGCCTCCTGAAGGGGTGGCAGCTGGGTGCCTCCACACAGCCTACAGTGAGTTCTTTTTTGAAGAGCAGTGCAGTGGTTCACTGCCTGTGCTGCCTTAGGCCCCGACGTGCCTTGGGGCCAAGGCATTCTCCCGCCCCATCCTGCGCCAGTGTTTCTCCTTGATCCTAAAATATGCCGCATTTCCTCCTCTCTCCTGCTTTAACGTGTTTTTGTGTACGTTGCCCCCTCTACTTTGAATCTTATTTTTTCTTTTCTTTGTCTAAACCATGCATGCCAGAGGGTTTCCTTTTTTTTTCTTTTTTTCTTTTTCTTTTTTTTTTTTTTTTTTTTTTGGTTTTTATTTTTTTTTTTTTTTTTTTTTTTTTTTTTTGTTACAATAGGTTTTAGGGTACAAGTGGTTTTTGGTTACATGGATGAATTGTACATTGTTGAAGTCTGAGAGTTTAGTGTACCTATTACCTTAGTAGTGTACATTCTACTCAATATGTAGTTTTTCATTCCTCAACCCCCTCCTACCCTCTCCTCTTCTGAGTCTTCAGTGTCCATTATATCACTATGTGTTTGCATACCCATGGCTTAGCTCTCACATATAAATGAGAAAATGTGGTATTTGGTTTTCCATCTCTGAGTTACTTCACTTAGAATAATGGGCATGGCAGAGTTTGAGTGGCTGCCCTTAACTATCACTCCAGGTTAGGTTTAGCTACTGTACATTTCCATACCCTCCTTTATTTTTTCTTTAGGGCATTCTGAAAATTTTTAATCATTTTACTAATTATTTCTAATTATTTGCCTAAAGTCATCCTTGCCAACTTGACTGTACAGCCCATGAAGCTGAGGTCTGGTCTGCTTGTTCATAACCTGACAGCAGTGCTCTGCATGTAAGAAGTACTCCTTGAAAATGTGGTACCTTTTATGCACTACAAGAACACACAGGAGAGTGGAATGTATCAGTTCGGAGACAGGGTTTTTAGAGAAGGCTGAGACCTATAATAAGTAAACAGGAGCTAGACAGTACATTAGTCCATTTTACATTGCTATAAAGGAATACCTGAGGCTAGGTAATTTATAAAGATAAGCATTATATTTGGCTTATGCTTATGCTAGCTGTACAAGCATGGCATCAGAACCTGTTTGGCTTCTCATGTCCCCTCAGGAAGCTTTTACTCATGGCAAAAGGTAAAGGGGCAGCAGGCCTGTCACATGGCAGGAAGGGAGCAAGAAAGATGCCAGGGTCTTTGTAAGAACCAGTTCTCTTGTGAACTAATAGAGTGAGAACTTACTCATTAGAACAAAGGTGGCACCTAGCCATTCATGAGGGATCCACCCCCATGATCCAAACACCTTCCACGAGGCTCCACTTCAGACATTGGGGATCACGTTTCAACGTGAGATTTGGAGGGAACAAACATCCAGACTGTATCAGGCAGCAAAGGGGAGAAGAGTGTTTCAAGAAGTACTATAGTGTAGAGAGTGTGGATAGCACTTTGTAGGAGTGGATAAAACTCCATCTCTGTCCTCGTAGGGTCTTGGCTAGGCCTTGAGAATTAAATTGACCTGAGATAGATTAACATTTCATAGCATAAAATTTTATTTCATACAAATTTTACATGGCATAGGAGCCCTTATAAAGAAATGAAGACCCAGAGAAGTACTTAAAGCCAGTTACTTTTGTACTAGATTGGACAAAGAAAAGTAGGTTGTGAAGAAGCATCTAACTTATATGGGAGGCTTAAAAGTTAAGAGTTATTTTTATCACAAGACAAGGATGCCCTTTCTCACCCTCACCCCTCCTATTCAACATAGTATTGGAAGTTCTAGGCAGGGCAGTCAAGCAAGATAAAGAAATAAAGGCTACTCAAATAGGAAGAGAGAAAGTCAAACTATCTTTGTTTGCAGATGACATGATCTTATATCTAGAAAACTCCATCTTCTCAGCCTAAAAGCTTCTTAAGTTGATAAGCAGCATCTGCAAAGTCTCAGGATACGATTTCAATGTGCAAAAATCACTAGCATTCTTATAAACCAACAACAGGCAAGCTGAGAGCAAATCATGAATGAACTCCCTATTCCCAATTGCCACAAAAAGAATAAAATACCTAGTAATACAGCTAGTGAGGAAAGTGAAGGACTTCTTCAAGGGGAGCTGTAAACCGCTGCTCAAAGAAATTAGAGATGACCCAAACAAATGGAAAACACTCCATGCTCATGGATAGGAAGAATCAATATCATGAAAGTGGCTATGCTGCCCAAAGTAATTTACAGATTCTGTACTATTCCCATTGAATAACTGACTAATAAAACTACCAACATATTCTTCACAGCATTAGAAAGAAACTATGTTAAAATTCCTATGGAACCAAAAAAAAAGAGTCCAAATAGCCAAGGCAATCCTAAGCAAAAAAACAAAGCTAGGAGGCATCACATTACCCAACTTCAAACTATTATAGGGCTACAGTACAAGAACAGACACATAGACCCATGGAGCAGAACAGAGAACCCAGAAATAAGACCACACACCTACAACCATCTGATTTTTGACAAATCTGACAAAAACAAGCAATGGGGAAAAGATTCCCTATTTAATAAATGGTGCTGGGAGAACTGGCTAGCAATGTGCAGAAAACTGAATCTGGACCACTTCCTTACACTATATACAAAATTCAACTCAAGATAAAGACTTAAGTGTTAACACCCCAAACTAAATACTCTAGAACAAAGCATAGACCATACCATTCAGGAAATAGGCATGGGCAAAGATTTCATGATGAAGATGCCAAAAACAATTGCAACAAAAGCAAAAATTGACAAATGGTATGTAATTGAAGAGCTTCTACACAGCAAAATAAACTATAAATAGAGTAAACAGACAACCTACATAATGGGAGAAAGTTTTTGCAATCTAGGCATCTGATAAAGGTCTAATATTCAGCATCTATAGGGAATTTAAACAAATTATAAGAGAAAAACAACCCCATTAAAAAGCAGGCAAAGTGGTTATATTAAATCTGAAGAAATAGAATATCTGTGAGCCTCCACCT